AACTGAGCTAGTAGTTTTCCAGCTGATATCCCAGCAAAACATGTAGGTACACACCATGTTATGTGACTCCCCCAGATGCTAATCAAGTGCTATTCATGGGACTCTGTGTGCCAGATGTGATTCTTTCGTGTTAAACAACTCACAGATTATTAGTTTTTCATGAATTTGTCCGACCTTTTCTTCAACTTATGTAAACTGAACCTCCATGACTATCTCAGCTACTCATTGCTAGAAGAACCACTTCTATTTTTTAATTTTCATTCTGACTCTTGCTAGTTTCATGTGATGCCCCTTACTTCTTGTACTGGAAATGACAGTAAATAATTTTTTCTTCTCCAGTCTATCCATGTTGCTAGTAGTTTTAGCAATTTTATAGATTGTTATCCTATTCCTCCACTCCTGCCAGCACTGTCTTTCTACTAGTCATAGTTACTATGCATGTGTAGCTAGGTCCCTAATGCCAGTGAGTTTACTAGAGGTTAGGAGTCTAAATAAACAGGATGGTTTTAGCATAAGTCACAAAACAGCTGAAGTTGGAAGGCACTTCTGGAGATCATCTAGTTCGACCTCCCTGCTTACAGCAGGGTCAGTTACTGCAAGTTGCTCAGGGACAAATCCACCTGGGTTTTGAATATCTCCAAGGATGGATACACCACAACGTCTCTGGGTAACATGATCTAATGCTTGACTATGCTGAGAGTAAAGAAGCTTTTTTCCTATGTTTTAATGGAATTTCCTGGATTTCAAATTGTGCCCATTGTTTCTTGCTCTGTCGCTGGGCACCACTGGGTAAAACCTGGCTCCATCTTCTTCACTTCCATCCATCAGGTATTTATACACATTGATAAGATCTCCCTGAGCCCTGGGAGTATTCTGAGTGGGACCACAGCAATGAAAGTAAGATAGAAAAAAATTATCTGGGGATTTTAGTTGCAAACTAAAATTGAATAAGGGAAGTTTATCAATTCAATAAATAGAACACTAAAAAAAACAAAAAAATAGGAACTTATCTTAGTTTTGCTCAAAATAGCATCTGTTGCTTCTGTTCTGACAACATATCGGGTTCTTCATTTAAATAAAAAGAGAAAAAGAATCAGGTTATTATAGATTTGCTTTCAAGAGAAGGTTGTGAAGGTGTGTAATATAAACTTTGATTTTCATTTACACTTAAATGTCACCTCAGTAGGGTTATTACTAGGGGCCATTTGATTATTTGTTTTCATGAAGGTTTGTAAAGTTCAAATATATTTGTATGCACACAAAATTTGAATGTCTATGTTAATAATAACAACAAAACTAGTAAAATAACTGCAAGGAATTTACAATCCCAAATTTCCGTAAGTACAATCCAGTCACTAATGTCATATGAAATGCCTGTAACTCAGTGGATTATTATATTTTCTTCCCGTATTGGTTTAATAGAGTTTTGTTATTTCATAGCAACATAGTCTTAAGAACTCTTTCATTATCAATAATGGAAGTAAATCTAAAATTAATATAGCATCTGCAGAACCACATTTTTTACTAGTGTGAAGGATCAGTTGTGTTTATATGGATATGCGCATCTTATTCTTAAGGCAAGAATATTTTCAAAGTAGTCTCCAGGATAATATTGTCAGTAATCTCTCAAGTCATTTATTGCTCTTTGCTCCATAATGAACTTTGCTTCCAAAACCCAAAGTAAATCCTCAGTGACTATGATTTTAATTGAACGGCAGAATTTAGAGGAAATTTCTAAAATATGTAACAATAATGAAAGTATAAAATATTCAAACATATCTTTGTGCAAGAGACATAATCTACTCTCATTGTTTTCCAAATTCCTGCTAGATGACTCACTGACAATATTGCAAATCTGTGTTTCAAGAATAACAGCATTTTCAGATTTGTGTTAAATACAAATATTAACAAGCTTTTATGTTCTGATCCCACAGAGAAATTGTCTAAACTTGCCTAAATACTGCAATTTTCAGCTTTCTTGAGAGAGCAGGGAAGGCTTTTTCCTTCTTCTCTGAAATTCCTTTCAAATATTCTGTTATAAATTTGTCTTGAGTTCTGTGTGTCCACAACATAAGCTTATCAGCTAGATTTTCTTAAATAATTCTCTTCTTAGCTGAATACTTTACATTTAGACTTTTATTGCAGCACCACTAGTCCATTTCATAACTATTTCACTTAAAACACAGATTTCTTTGTACCAGTGAAGTGCCTCAATGCCTTCATATGCAGAAGGCATTTTATAGAATGTCTTGTGATTTGCAGCGAAGGCACTGTTGAGACATTTAAGATGATGTTAGGTGTTCGTGTACCAGTGTCTTACGTTTGGAATTTCAACAAAAGTATTTCTCTCAATTCTCTCTCTTCTGTGCCTTTTAGGCATTATCTTAGCTTTCTGTCACTCTGATAGAATTTGAGGTTCATGGCTCTTTCTAGAATCAAAAGACAGACAGACATTCACTTTAACATCTTGAGTATGCAAAGGTTTCTAGTGATTTTTTTTAGATACAGTGCTTAACAACTGAAGTAGTTATCGGATACAATTTACAAACGCACTGAGGTTCCTTAATCCCATTGTCTACCTGTTGTTTGAGATGCCTTGACATATTTTAAATCTTGTACATTTCATACTTTTCTAGTTATATTTTAAAAAATATGTTGATAAAAACCTTACAAGCTTGTTTTAGATAGTAAGAGAATACGGAATTAAAGACAAATTTCCTGGATCCCATGTTATACATAAATAAAAGACAATTCTTTTCCTAAGTCCTATAGAGATGTATAGAAAAAAATATCCCCTGTTAAGTTAAAATTGTTTAGTCAGTCTTCAAAAAAAGATCTGAAAAGATTTTAATTATAGTTTTATAGGACAATTGTATTAGTAATTACATACCATTTTTAAAAAAAATCTTCCTGGAGGTTTATTAATTATGTGATAGAAACATCTCAGTTACAAACCTCTTAAATGTCAAAAATATGCATTTGATATTCAATTGGTATTAATTTAACATGTAACAACTCACTCTCAAATATGGGTTGTATGTAGCAGCACGTTCAAGATCATGTTTTCTGTCTACCCGTTTTGGAAGTCAGACTTTCATACAGACTGTCCTGCTTAGAGCAAATGCCAACCTATTCAAGAGACCTAATGTTCACCCAGCATCTGCTACAAATACAACTTTCGCAGGAGCAAGTATGTTGACTTTACTAGTGAAATACGTGTAAAGGACTAACACAGCTACTAAGATGAGAGTTTGGCTACAGGATTGCATATTTGTAAATGAACGGTCTCTGATACTTATTTTAGCTGTGGCAGCAGGGTAGGAATCATTGCTATGCATATGCTACATGAAGAAGCATTGCTAAGTACCTCCACAAGTGTGAATTTTGTATAAATCAAACCTGTGTTGTAACTAATAAATAGCAAATATGTATTCTTTTTTTTTTTTTTCAGAGCCCTGTTCTAGGCTCACTCTGCAGTATCAAGTTGCCTTTGCTACGCTGTCTAATATATGCAAAAATTAAAACCATCACCTTCCAAACGCAAATTCCTATGCTCGCAAATAGGCCCAGCCACTCCATCTGCTTCCCTGTCTTGAGAAATGAGAGCTTTTGTTGGCTTAGTTTGTCTTTCAGGGAACATAGGATACCTTTACTGATAATGAAAAAACCCCACAAACCTTTCCTGTCACTATATGGTGTGTCTCTTCCTCAGCACTTTGCTGGTAGAAGTTATGTCAATCGTGCTTTTAATGCAGCCCTGTCCACTTGTACTGAATGACTCAAAATTTATTTCAGCTATACATCTTTTAAATTCTCATGGAGAGATGAATTTATACAACTTTGATACACCTTTACGTTTTCTCAAGAGAGTAAAGGGAACTTTGTGTATATTAATATTAGACTTGTGAGCTAACTATATCTGATATTTATTAATTTTTCAGTGGTAAAAAATGTAAGTTGGAGACTGAGGTGAACAAAACACTTCTGATTCATGAAAGACTTGGGTTCACCTTGCCAGTGCCATTAATCATGAGCAGAGCTCAAACAGATTGTATAGCATTGCAGAGATTTGAGGAGAATATAAGGATATATGCACTTTGGGAACCAGAAACCATTGTCTAACAAAATGTCTATGCCTTAGATCACCAGAAAAAGTCACATGAAATAGTTTTACAGGAGATCTTCTGTGGTGTAATACCTTGCCCATATCTGTTCTATTATCTGCACAGCTATATTTATGCATGAGTATGTACATAAAGTGTGGACAAACATGCTGTTTTATATTTTTATTCTGCCTCTGTTAATATTTTGGCAAAAACAAAACTAGTAAGGTTTCCATCCTCAAAAGGGTTTCTAAAATGTTTGATGTGGGTCTGACAGTGAAATACAGTGATATACCAGACTGTAGCAGATGGTCAGTTGAAAAAGAACTATCTCTATAATATGTATGTCTATAGTATCTACAGAGTAACAATCTAATTGCAAAGAAAAATGATGTGGAGTTCTTCACATATACTGCTTTAGTGATACTTACAAGGGAAAAAAAATGCCTTTGTACTAAAAATACAATAATACTCTTAAAAAAACCTCTCCATTTTACCTTCTAATAATAGCCTCATTTTAAAAGAAGAGGGGGAGCCAAGGGAAATTTCCTTCACATAAAGAAATAGCTGCTTTCATTTTTTTATTATTTTGGAAAAATGTGATACTTGCATGAATATTTTAATTATTCATTGATATATGCTAAGATCTTTTCCTTTTTAATTTGGACTTTACACCTTCAGAGTGAGCAATAGCATTTTAAATTTAAATTTTCAGTGAAATTTTGGAAGAAGAAATATGACATCTTGACATAGTTTTTTTTGTCTTTTAAAAAAACAAGCATAACCCCCCAAAACAACATACACCACCCAGCACCACCACATCCCCACCCCCCCTCATTTAATTTTAGTCATTAGATATACTCCAGGAAATGATCTCCATTTCTGTTCTAAAAGAAGTCAGCAGATTGCTATTGCTTCTTGTCTTAAAGTTCTTGTCCAATTTACCATTCAGTTTTGTAACACCATCACAGCAGACTCTTTACCACTTAAATGATAAAAGTTTCAATAGGCACTTTAGTGGAATTACGAAAAAGCTACCACTCTTCCACCGTGATGCCAGAAAACTATCTTCTTTCTAAGTCAGGTCAGTAAACTGTACCTTGTAGGCCTGAGCTTGTCTCAGTGTAATTCCAGAGTAACAAAATAACAACAACAAAAAAACTGTGTATATTACAGGATTTATCTTTCCTTTGCAGATCAAACCAAAACTGACAGTATGATAAATGTAGTAACTTGCTGGAAACAGTTGCTGTCTTTTATAATCAAAGGAATCCTGTCCTATTATAAAGCTTAGGTTTATCTTTTAAATTTGTTGTTGGTTTATTTTCTTTTTATTTAACTGCTGCAGTTGTACTTAAGTGACTTTGTCAGGGTTATAACTTTCTTCTTCTCCAAACATGTCTGCCAAGATCTTAAAGCGGGGTCCCCAGTCACTCAGATAGTCATAATCCTGGTCTGCCTCTGTAGTAAGGGAGTCTATAGAGCTGAGAGACTCTGCAACAGATCCATTTCCTTCATAAGCATAGGTTGCCAAGGAGTCATAAGGGGGTGCAGTTGGATCTACATCATTTTCCTGCAGCCTTTGATTAATGAAATCTCTTATGTCTGTGTTATCTTCCACTGGTGGTCTCTGACGCGGAAAACGCAAGGTGTCTGGTTTTATGTCCCTGCGTATTTTGTTGTCTTCAATCACTTTGGGATTCCTCAGGGCACCTATGTCGAAAGCCTGGGTGTCCTCTTCTCCACCTCCTTCATCATCATAATGGATAACATTATCTCTGATGTCTTCTTTAGAGGTCATCAGGGTGTCCTTTTTCTTCTGCCTTCGTAGTGCTACATACAGTACCACAATAACTGTAAAAAGAGAAAACTAAAGTTAAGACATACATGGAAATAACTTGGTACTCTAATGATGCATCATCTTATCTTTCTTTGAAAGCTGCAAGCAATCAAAGGGACTTTTTTCCTTAGACGATATGCTTCTACTGTTTTTTTTTAAAAATAGGAGTGCTCTAGCCAATGAAAAGTCATTTGTTGTTTGATGTATGAGTCTAACTCCTTAGTGCTGCTGAAGGAAGTAATAATTTCCCTACTGGCCTGCATTGTGAACAAATAGAATTGGCCAGGGCTTCAGCTTTTTGGTTCAGAGAGACAGAGAGATGGGATTTTTTTAAAAATGTCTTCCATAGCAAAATAGAGAAAAATTCCCAAATTTCTATATTGAAGAGAAAAAAACCTCACAGTATTAAAGAGAAAAAATAATTTGGAATCTTTGAAGTGGAGAAAAAATAATCCTACTTGAGATTTTTGTACAGTACACTTTGGCCTCTTCAGGGATCTGCTTTGAAAAATCCCATGTGATATGGTTCTGGAGAGAAAAGGGGTGCAGGAGAGCTGGTTGATTTTCAAGTATCACCTCTAAGCTCAAGAGTGGTCCATCCCGATGAGAAGGATATCAAGTTAAGGCAGTAGGAGACCTGCATGGATGAATAAGGATCTCCTGACTAAACTCAGAGATAAAAAAAAAAGAGGCATATAAGATGTGAAAGCAGAGGCAGGTGAGCCAGGAGGAATACACAGTGACTGAATATGTTGGGATGTGGTTAGGAAAGTCAAAGCCTGTCTGGCATCAAATCTCAAACTCAATTCATAGAAACATGAATGGCAACAAGAAGGGCTTGTACAAGTACAACAGCAGCAAAAGAAAAGTGGGGAAAATGCGAGCCCACTGCTGAATGGTGCAGGGGACCTGTTGACAAAGGACACAGAAAAAGCTAATCTACTCAATGGCTTCTTTGCTTTCTGCCTTTGGTAGAAATGCCAGTGTTCTAAGCACTGTTATTGAACTAACACAATGATGAATACAGGAGTTACAATGATTATAAATCTATGGTCAGACTCGTGGTCTAAAATAACTCCTGATTCTGGCTGTCTTTTGTGTAGAAATGAGTTCCACAAGACTTACTTCAACTACACTTTTAATGACTCTGTGTCAAGCCAGATTCACAGCAAGAAATTAAAATCCAAAAGCAGTTTTTAAATCAATGGAATAGTAAGGAGGCAGTCTAGATATAAGATAAACACCATTCTCTTAGTTTACACACAGCACTGGAAATCTCGTTATTTATACATTTGTTTTTCTGGGCAATATTGCCAGGATGATTGGGATGAAGGAAATTATTAAAGGACCAAAACTCTTTTCCAGACATAATCTCAGTAATTCAGTTTGGTGTTCTGTGTAAAGTGAAAATTAAAATATTTTCATTGGTTTTGTATATGCCAAAGCATCAGTCAGCAGTGGAGATGGTAAGTTCTTTGACATAATTGTTTTTGATTGAATATACTGTTTTTTTTTAATACAAAATTTATTTATTTCAACAAACCATTAGGGAAACATGAACAAAGCTCCGTTAAAAGTCTCCTTTATCACCTAGCAAATTTGGGGGAAATTCAGACTTAGGTATCCCCACTTCCTCAGATATTCCACCATTGTAAATGATCTTTGTACAAAGAGCACCAAGCTTTCTGCTGCTTAGTTCATACCGTCCAGATCACTGGACACAAAGGTGGCAACTTGAAAAGCTTTGCTACAGCTATGTGTTTAGGGTTTCCAGGCACTTCGTTCTGTAACAGAGAGGTTAGATAGCCTGGGAGTCCTGCCCTAAGACAGATCTCTAAATGACTTATCTCTTCACGTGAAAATAAGTTAAACCTTAGTTTGTAATGGAACTTCTTTGAGGCTGAGGCTGACCTCTGACTGCTTTTACACAGGAAACCCTTAAAAGTAAAAAAGTAGTCCCAAGGAACTGTGGTAAAGGAGACAGCTTCTTTCACATTCTTCTTTCTTCCAAAAAACTGACCTAAATTTGTTTTGTTTTGTTTTGTTTTAATTCTTCAGAATGGGTGTATTTGCTATTAATTCCTATTCCACGGGAAGTATGACCATTTGTTACTCTCATGCTGACTTGAAACAATGTTTTTCTCAAAACATAAAATTTTTACACAAAATAGAAATTCTGGCTTTTACCACTACTACTCAGAAGCTATTTATGTAATCCTGAGCATGTCATAATTTACTTAAGTGGTTAATTACTCTTTTATCCAAATGCAAAGATATATCCATATGTTATATTCTGTGTCTGCAGCTATTTTTGCCCATGCATTAGACCTACACAAGGAGTAGCGTGAGATCTAGGAAACCCACTAGTATCAAGAAGAGGCATAGGCTAGCATCTGTAAGAATCAGTCTGCTTTCTGCAGCCCATATTGTGCCTGTGTAAGCTACAAAGTTGATTTTATTTCATTACCTGTTCATTAAGGCTATATTATAAGTAGGATGCACATGAGTATTAACAGCTTTGGCCATGCTGTAAATAAGGCAATATTTAAATATAATGTAGATCAAATGAAAATGCTATCTTATGGAATCCATGCCTGCCTGAAATTAAAATGTTCTTGTGAAGTTTTGTATGGATCTAGCCAGTCACAGCCTACATTACAGTTAATTTCTCTTTTCTCTTTTCTTCATTCTCCTTTTGCTCAAGTTGTCATGAAGAATTAAATAAAGACCCTTACTAAGTCCTTACTGCTGTTACTATCATTAGGACTTGTCTACCTTAGTAATAGTCTAAAAAATACTAATTCTTCAAGAAAAGTATTCAAACAAAACTGTTTCAGAGAAAAAATTATGATTTGGATTCCACTGAAAACTAGTGCTCTTCTTCATGCAACAAGAAATACGTGGGGGTTAGAAGATTCATGGTCATGGTCAGCGTTTTGGGATGCTTTTCTAGAAACACAGAAGCATAAAAGTTCTCGTAAACTGTCACACATTTTCAATGGCTTTTCTTAAACAATAGATGAAGCCAAGAACAATGTAATTTAATTCACAGATGAATCATTGGAGTAATGCACTTCACACGGTTTCATGAGAACTAACCTAGAAGTATAACAATACACAACAAGATTGCAATCAGTGCTCCTGTGCTGAGGCCTACTGGTAAGAAGATTGCTTCCACATTGCAGGACAAGATGGTACCATCAGAATCACATCTGCAAACGCGGATAGTCATTGTGTTTGTGCTGCTCTGGACAGGGTAACTGCTATCTTCTATTACTACGGGAAGAAAGTACAGCTCTTGCTGCCTTCTGCTGTAACCATTTCTCCTGGTTTCAATCCCTGCTGTGTTGTCTGTAAAACAGGACACAGTTATTACAGGATTTTTATTTTGTACTTCAATTCACCATTGTAGTTTATATCATCTTTAGTAATAGCTCTTCTATTTTTGAAACAGTGAATAACATGCTTTAAGTAATTGCCTGTTTTATCATTACAGAATGTATTGTATTCTGACTGGTACAGCTATTTTTTGCAGAGCATTAAATAATATTCCATTTCTTGTAAACTTGTTAGCTTGACAGCTAAAATTTCAAAGCCATAAATAATAATTGAAAATAGAATTACAGGTATTAGATTAAGAAGGTTTTCCAGTTTTTCTTTTTTCCTTATCTCCTTACATTCCAAGCATGTAGTCCAAAGGACTTTGCACACGGATTTAGAATTAAGTCTCTATTAATCAATTAATTTCCCTTTAAAATGGAAAAAAATAAACCTAGACAAAATGCAAAACCCCTTCAACTTCCCGTCCCATTAAAAATAAAAGTACAGAAATTAACTGAATACTTAATAATCAATACATTTTCCATCAATTAGTCATGAATGCATTCAGAACCCCTAGAAATTCTGTTTTGTTATTTCTTACCAGTAGATACTCAGTTCTCACTGCTTTTCTTGAATCAGAGTAGCAAGGAAATGATGTGCAGATTAAAATAATTACATTGAAAGCAAAACTAAAATGAACTATGGAAGGAAATTAATTAGCTGACAGATTTGCGTGAAGGTAACCTGAAGCAGTCACCGTTTTGTCATCTCACCCATGTACTTTACTATATCTTTAAAGGAGGTCACTTGCTGTCCATGTTAAGAATTGAATCTCTTAGATTTTGTCACTTAGTAGATGGATTAAGGACTCTGAATTTAATACCCAAATGTTTGTGTGCTGTTCTGATTAAGGACAACAAGAAGGAACCCTAAATACTCAAATTCAGATATGTTATGATCAGACACCATTGAGAAAGCACTTGATTGACAAAATGCTTATTTCAGGTCCCTTCTTTATCAAACTCAAACATGGTACATGGACACATCAAGTCCAGTGACACCTAGTTTTGAAAAACAAAAATGTCACAAATTTACTTGAATCAAACCAACTTCCATCTTCAGCTTGTTCTTTCTCTCTTTGATTAATTATCTGCACTGTATAAAGAGTTTTAGATCTAATTTAAAGTCATCCAGTTTAATCTTATTTCTATTCTCACTGCTATTAATACAATTATTTCTACTCTTTCTTTTCTTATAATTGCAATATCGAAGACCACTTTAATACATGTTACAATGCAACTAAATGACTCTCCATTCTCCTTTGAGAAGAATAAAACAGATTGAGCTCTTAAGTCTTCGACTTCAAACAATTTTTGTTGCCCTTCTACGACCCCTTTCAATTGTTCAAGCTCCTTTTGAGAGCATGGACACAGGCGTGTGTTTGAACTCTCTACAAAGCAGCCTGGAGCTGCAGCCTGAAGCTAAGACAGCTTCTGGTTCTTCAGTCTGTTGGCAATAAATTCATTTTCAGGATGTGTGTGACAGTCTGGAGAGAAGGAAAATCAACTGAGTGTTCCCAGCAAGAAAGTAGCCTTCTAGAGAGGAGAATGTGGCCAGCAAAATAGAAAGAGGAAGATGGGAGGTTCACTGGAAGCACTACAGCTCTGTCAGGGCCTCTCACTTCTTTTCATAACTGGTGAATTGGTCTCAGTGCTGCTGAAGGCATGGTCTAGGAACATAACATTTCACTGTGCTTATATTTATAGAGATTCCAAGTAGCAACCTTGAGCTTCTGCCTTGCTTCTGTCTTCATTGAGTTATATTCTGAGGAAGTATGGAATCTGGAAAAGTATACTGTCTTGGGTGTACTACAAACATATTATACCTGCAGTAATATCACACCACTCATGATTTTTATCTGTGTAGAATAGCACCAATTATTGGGCTTTTTCAAGTGTCTAAAAATGTTAAATGACACCTTTACCTGTAAAAGTGTTTGTTGTAACACAGTGAACAAGACTGGTTCCTCAAAAAAAAATCAAAATTCCTTTCACGAAGTACCTGCTTGGTACTAGCATGTTCGCTAAGTCAAAAGATAGTGATATTTAAGTTTTTAAAAAGTTTCTGTAGTGAAAATAAGATTGTGTTATTATGCCTTTAAATTGTGCACAGAGCAGACTTTCCACCTTTTTGACAAACAAAAGGCAGAAGATATTGAAAATATTGTACAGAGTTTTGGTTTGGACAGATTTTTCTAACAGCTCTGTAAAATCATCAAAAATTAAAAAGTCTTGTATAGTTGGAAAACATGGCGCAAAAGCTTTTTTTCTCTCTTCCTTTTGTTTCAATAAATATTGTACTTCTTTTTTTAGTAAGGGTTAAGAAATGCTTTTAAGAGTGTGTATATAGCTATGTACACACACAAATATTTATTGATGAAAAATTTTACATCTTGATGGTTTTTAATTTCATTTTTTATGGGAGTATTGCATTTGGTTTTGTACAGTAGAAAAAGCTTGTTAACAGACTACTGAGATCCAAAGTCATTTTGGTATCAACATTACTGAATTAAACAGGGAAATTTAATTATCTAATAATATTTGAGCAATTTCCCCACCAAACTTAGATGCTAAGCACACTTCAAAAAAGTTATAAACGAGAAAGGCCATCGAGTTTAATTATTGTATAGCCTTTTTAAGTTTAAATATTTTTTTGAGAAATTAAATATGTTAAAATGACCTGAGAAGAACTGGAAGAATTATATTTAAAATAATAATTTGTAATTATTTGAAAAAAAATGTTGGTGAAATTAAAAGTATTTTTTAGTAAATGGACAGAAAGAAAGAAACTAAAGCT